TCCGGTGGCGGAGCCTCAGGTTGATTTGGAGGAGGAGGTTCCCGCCCCAGCAGTCCCGGTGGGCCCAGCTCAGGTTCCAGAGGGGTTCATTGCCATCCCAGNTGGCACGCCGACCACGAGATATTATGAAATGGGATCGTGTTGCACGCCTGCAACGAGAGGAAATTGAAATAAGCGAAAGTGGTTTGTTTTCCCTTATTCTGTGTTAGAAGAGGTCAGATGTAGTTCTTTTGTTATCCCTGATATTCTGTTTTATCTGCTACCCCATAAGTATGTTCCCCCTCCCAGCTTTAATTGTTTACTTTTCGCTATTACTTTGTTGTACTTGTATATATATATCTGCACAGGTTTAACTGGTAGTCTGGTCTAGCCTCGCCACTACTTCGCCGGGGTTAGGCTAAGCACTTACCAGCACATGGGGTCGGTTGTGCTGATGCTACACTCTGTGCATCTTTTTGCATGGATCCAGGTGTTGGAGCAGCATTTGAGTGGCAGTAGCATTCTGGGAGCGAGCTTTCAGTCCGGGGATATTCGAGGTAGCGTTGCTGACGTCCGCAGGCCCGGAGTCCCCTTCTGTTTTTATTCATTTTGTTATCACTTGTACCGAAGCAAACAGTATTGTACTTTGTTCAGACTTTGTATGTAGTATTCTGTAGACGTTCGTGAGTTAGTGACACCAGTCTTGGGTAGAGGATTTTGTTAAACTTCCGCATTTCTTTCAATTAATCATATTTGAGACTTCCGCTTATTTATTAGATGCTTTATTGTCCCTAATATTGTCGTGGTTCGTTAAAAGAGGTAGTTGTTAATTGGCTTGCCTAGCTCTCATTAGTAGGCGCCATCACGACTCCCGAGGGTGGGAAATTCGGGTCGTGACACGAATACAGCGAATACAATCGTGTAACAACTAACAGTATCCATATGAAGTAATTATGTATATGGTAGCTATAGGAAGTTAATAGCCCCTAGCAATAGTGATTTCTGAAAATTTAATTTTAAACGGCTTAACATTACGAACCATAAATATAACACTGTTGTCTTTAATATGGAATTATTAGTCTCCCAAAAATAGTAAAATAATTCAAGACTATAGAATTCTAAAATGCATATTAACGCCTCCTCCATTTTAAGCACCTTTTTAATTAAATTTTCGTTAATCATTTTATAGCTTATAAAAAATGAAATGAGTATTATATTCATCATAACGGCGAGCTTCAATTCCTGGTGCTACGTTCAGTCACCTTTTCCCTTGGCTTTTAGATTAGTTTTTTAAGTTAATCGACAAATGCCGAAGCTTATAAGTATTCTAGCAATTGCGTAGGTTTTAAAGAACCAAAAAGAATTCTGAATAAGCAAGACGGGTCGCGAATAAATTTGATCGATTCATTTAGTTGTCTAATGCTATTGACATGGAAAATCTTTACTGATTGCATAAACTACTCACTATGTTAATATATTGGTTGGAGCAAGTGAAGTGAACAAAAGATCAACGTTTACTTAGTTGTTTTTCCCAATTGAAAAACAAAAGTGCTAAAGAAAACATCCAGAATATTGTAGTACAATGAATACCAAATTAATTTGCTCCTATATGCATGAGTTCTTCTTACTCTTTCCTGCCCAGGCATCTGGTTTGCCTCTATTTGTCTCCTATACTATTTTACAGACTTGTAAAAGGAGAATGACTTTATATTTTGATAACCGCCTTAGGTCTGATTTAGGTGGACTAAACTATTATTAAGAGTGTGTTACTCTACTAAAAAAGCTAGTAGTAGTATTTACAATCCTGCCGCTAAACCAAATTTTCGTAACTTAAATTTACTCCTCATAGCATGGGAAAGGGTGATAAGAATCATGTGAATGGAGCACGAAATCGTAAGCTTTAAAGTATGGGAGTAGTCAGGGCACTGAATCTAAAAAACTCGTGAAAGTTGTCATTATATATGCGTGTAATCTCTCTTAATCCTATATCATATTTTATACTTATAAACTCTTGTAATTATGTTTATAATATATAACCAATGAGAGACATTCTTAAATATTACATTGACCTTCTATGCTTTAATTGCTGCCAGGAATGTAATTTTAAATGAAGGAATTCAAAGTTGGAAATAAACATGTGTTATGTTTAGTGTCACGTTACTTTAAAGAACTATCTTGAAAGAATAACATGAGAGCAAACTATACTGGATTAAAGGATTCTATTCTGGCAAAAAGTACACTCCAAGATCAAGCTTCTGCTCTAAACTATACATGATTACAGTTATGGAGACAAATCCACAAGGTTTTTCATTCCACCAAATAACAGATGCAAGATTATAAGATCCCATAAACTGAGGATCTTATATGATGGAGAAATGCAATGAGCTTTAGCAGAATTTCCTTGCCACGGGGAAAAAACTGTCATCGAACAAGCTTCCTCCAGCTACCAAACCACAGCTTCCAACGCACAAGACCTGCAGACCTGCAAGGATACAATAAGATGATACTCTCTTACCATTATCTGATAGTGTAAGACTGATCCGCGAGAAATCCGAGTGGAGCTTAGGATAAAAAGTAGCCTAATTCTACTGCTTGATACTCTTCCTTTGTGCCTTCAACTTTTCTACAACTTGTTCATCAGACAAAGGAAAATAGTAAATCCGAGGAGTGGCCTTTGTCTTTCTAAAATGATCATCCAGAGTGACAACTGGAGGGTCAAGTTTCTCAGTAAGTGGAGGTGGTGCTAGTAGATGATGTTGCTCCCGTGTTGTTGGGAGCTTCCTTGATGGTGGCGGATTAGACAACGGTGGCGGAGGTGAGAGAGATGAAGGAGGTTGAAGCTTCTTATTCTGCATTTGTTGCCTTGATGATGGTTGGGGTCTGGCAGAAGGTGGGGCAGCAGAAGCAGGGATTGTACTTACAGGAGTTGCATGAGTTAAGGGAGATTGAGGTGGCGCCTCGACCTTATCTTTCACTTGCTGGGTATCGACAAATTCAGCAACAAGTAGCTTCCCCCCATTTGGAGGCCATTGCAGGTTATTCATTAATGACATATTGATCTACCCACGTAGTATGGAGGAGCACAAGCAACGTTTGAGAGTTGTGCTTCAGACCTTGCATGAACAGAAGTTATATGCTAAGTTCTCCAAATGCGAGTTGTGGTTAGATTCTGTGGCATTCCTGGGGCATGTTGTATCAGGTGAGGGTATTAAGGTGGATCCTAGGAATATTGAAGCAGTCTAGTGTTGGCCTCGTCCTACCACAACAACCGAGATCAGGAAATTCTTAGGGTTAGCAGGCTATTATCGTCGGTTTGTGGAGGAATTCCCATCTACTGCAGCACCTTTGACTACATTGACCTAGAAGTAGAACTTATCTCCTTCACGTGTGTCTCACATGTATAGGTTGATCATGACTGTGCTTCACAAGATGGACCTGGTCCATGTCTGAGTTCGTTTGTCAATCTTCAAAACTTCACCTGTTCTTGGGCCAACAAATTCCCCCTTTTTGATGATGACAAACTCAATACTTACTTATTTGGAACCTGTAAGAACTCTTCTTAACCATCAATACTAAACCTAGAAAATTCACTTATCATCAAGGACCAGGTTAATTAGGTTATAAATATCACTTATTTCAGAATGTGTAAATCACAATGTCTCTTCCCCCTTTTGGCATCATTGAAAAGTTGCATACAAAGTGGAATTCCCAGATTTTAATAAGTACTCATGGCCACTGAGGCATGCAAGTGCAATCATGGTGTAATCATCAGTAATCAAGCAAACATTTTTAACTATCAAGGACAGATTAACAGTGAACAAGAGCAAAACAGTAGTTATCATTAACAGAGATATGTTGCCACCAACAATCCACAAAAAGAAAGAAAAACATTCAAACCATGAGCAAAAACAAAAGATAGAAAATCCCTAATCTGGGTCACTAAGGTGCTAAACAAGTGCAGAAGACAAAAGCTAGGAATCCTAAGGCTTGGAGGAACTAGAGGGTTGGGTTTGGGTTTGGAGAAGGTTCAGCATGTTATGAAGAATTCCATCATTCTTCTCCTTTTCTTTGGCAAGCTCAGTTCTGAGACCATCCCTCTCAGCTTCCACTTCAGTCACACGAGCCTTGAGCCTAGCTATTTCAGCATCCTTGGCTGCACATTCCTGAACCAAAGTCCTGACTTTGCTATTGATGGGTGTCTTCTGGGATGAACCAGGTTCATTTGGGATGGCATTGACTGTATAGTCACAAGCAAGAAGAGTATTGATGCCAAAGTGATCCTTGCTCGAGGCCATTTCTCACTTCTTCAAAGGCACATTGCACCTATCCAGCACAGTAGTCAGAATAAAGCCATAGGGGGTAGCATGAGCCTTTGAGCCATTGATGACCCTATCCAGCAACTTGATGATGAAGGCAGACCAATTTATTTGCCTTCCACTCTCCAGGCACTCCATAAGCACTAGATCCATGTAATTGGCAATGTATCTTCTCTCCTGTCTGGGCAATAAGTACTTGTTGACAAATTCAAACAAGACCTTGTGCTCAAGCCTAATTTCATTTTTTTGCACAGCCCTGGCTTCATTCACATCCTCAGAATCACAGAACCTCCTGGTAATTGCAAGAGCAGTAGGGAGGGAGTCCAGGCAAGGCCACCTTTGCCTTGTATAGTCATCAAACCCTTCAGAGGGTATGTCCAGGATCTCTCTCAGTTTCTTTGCATCAAACTGCACTTGAACTCCTTTCACCAGGCTATTAACCTTGCCATCCTTAACCAAAGCATTAGCCATAAACTCAATTAGCTCATTTCCGGCTAGCCTACCATCCATTTGAAGGACCATGTCCTTACATCCTTGAGCAGCTAAAACACTCACGAATCTTATCATTCATGGTTCCACCAGGTCTTTCAGTAGTCTACCTTTTAAAATCATTCTTTTGCCAAACATGGCAAACCTATCTTGTTCCTTCTCAGAATCAACTTCTTCTTCTTCTCCACTCTAGTCCTCATCTTCAAAAGTTTTTGATTATTTGTTTTTCACTACAGATCTTGTCCTCTTGGCTAGTGTAGGTTCAACAGCCTCAGACATAGAGGAAGGCTTCTTGGAGGAAGTCTTGGCCTTTTTGGGCTTGGGGGTCAAAACCTCCACTAATGTACCCCTTTCTTGATGGACCAGTTCCATCTCCTCTTCCTCAGCAGCCTCTGAAGATTCAGCAACCTTTCCCTTCCCTTTATTCATTCTCTTTTTCTTACTTTCAGCTAAAGCCCTTTGTAGATCAGCTTCACTCTGTTTCACCCTAGTTCTTGTGGCTCTACCTTTTAGCACTGAAGAGGCAGTAGGTGTTGGGGATGAAGCCTTTCTTTTCTTGGAAGGCTTATGAACACTGGGGGCTTTTGTCGTGGGAGTTCTGCGTTTCTTTAGGTCATAGCTTGCCCCAACCTTTTTCAGCAGGTCTGCTAGAGTCTCTTCAGTAGATGAAACAGGTTCATCTCTCTGTGTGCTCAGATGAACCAACCCCTCAGCAGCTTCCCCAGAACCACTTCCCCCTGACTTCATGCCACTTTCTTCTACCCTTTCTTGTGCAACCCCACAGATAGCAGGCACTACTCCTTTCCCATTTCCCCTCTCTTCACCACATGCACCCTCTCTCTCTTTTTCTTTTTCAGAATTCTTTTTACCTCCACTCCTTCGTATCTCAGGCAATTCAACATCCCTAATGGGTCCAACCAGAACAAACCTAGTCTCTAGGTTTTCAGTCACAGATGAACGTACCTTAGAAGGGGATTCTTGAGTCATTTCAGAATTAGAAGACCCATGTCCTTCCCCCTTTGTAGCGGATTGATATGATTCAGAATCAGAGCTGGAGGCAGATTTTTGAGCTTGGCTTGCTTTCAATTTCTCATTTAATGTCATCCTCAGAGCCCCAGACGCTACAGTCTTTCGAGCAAGCATTTTCACCGTTCGAAGTCTAGGTTTTGGAGATGCACTGGGTGGAAGAGGTGAGGATGAATTTGAGGGAGTGGGTGGTGGAGGAGTTTCAGGATTGTCTTGTGGGTTAGTCATCCTTGTTGGTCTCTTGAGAGAATTTTGGAAATTTGAGATTTGAAGAAAAAGGCAAGTGAAAGTGAAGAAGAATTTTTGACGGTTTGGAATTATTAAGATAGCAGGAGAAATGATATGTATTTAAAGAGAAATACACATTTAATAGGTAACGAAAGCTTTTAGCATTGGTCAATTAGAGGTCTAATCAACCTGAAATTCCAGATTTTGAATGATCAGTTTATCTTCCCTAGATTTTAGGCAAATTTTTCGGTTTTGAGTTCTAGGCAGACGGAACTGGTTCAAAGCTAACGGGTAGAATTTTCTAGGAATTGAACAATTTTAGGACTTCTGCTCATGATTTAAATATTAATCTTTCTAATTGTGCAGAGTATAGAAAACATACCTTAGCTTTCATATGAACCCATACTGATGAACCAGGTTCTTCATTTAGAATTCTCTTGAACATGCCTCACATGCCATAATAGATAAAATTTTGTAAGTGATCAGTGAGTCATATAAACACATGTCATAGGAGTATACTAATTAAAGTATGAAGCTGAGTAAGAATTAATCTAGATATTTACACAAGTTCAGAGTTCCTAGCCAATTTCTTTTTTTTTTTCATTTGTGCATTCTGAGCTGGACCTATTAGGTGATCTTAATCATCCCTAATTCCAACCTGTTCCTCTCAAAGTTTTCTCTACTCAGTGCTTTAGTGAAGATGTCAGCAATTTGTTTATCAGTAGCACATAATTCTATGGAGATCAATCCTTTCTCATAGTTATCTCTTAAGAAGTGGTGTCTAACATCTATGTGCTTAGTCCTCTTATGATGAACAGGGTTCTTTGTCATACTTATAGCACTAGTGTTATCACAAAATATAGGAATGCAACCCACATCAATACCAAAGTCTATCATTTGCTGTTTAATCCATAGCAATTGAGCACAACAAGAGGCAGCAACAACATATTCAGCCTCAGCATTGGATAAGGCCACTGAATTTTGCATTTTAGTGGCCCATGATACAAGACATGAACCAAGAAAATGAGCCATACCTGAGGTGCTTTTCCTATCCACAAGAAAACCTGCATAATCAACATCAGCATACCCTACTAGATTGAAATTACTACCTTTAGGGTACCAAAGATACATATCAGTAGTGCCTTTCAAATATCTCAGTATCCTGTTGACAACAGTCAAGTGAGACTCCTTTGGATTTGCCTGGAAGCGAGCACAAAGCCCTACACTGAAGACTATGTCAGGTCTGCTGGCAGTAAGATACAAAAGTGAATCAATCATACCCCTATACAACTTCTGATCAACTGATGAACCAGGTTCATCTATATCTAATTTAGTGGCAGTTGCAATGGGGGTGTCTATTTCCTTTGATTCATACATTTTAAACTTTTTGATCAGTTCCTTTGCATACTTCTGTTGATGGATCATGGTTCCATTTGGGTTTTGTTTGATCTGTAAGCCTAAGAAAAAAATAAGCTCACCCATCATACTCATTTCAAACTCACTCCCCTAAGAAAATATATGTTGATGGATCATCAACATATATTTGTACCATAAGGAGATCCTTACCTTTTTCCTTAAGAATAGGGTACTGTCAATTTTACCTCTTTTGTAGCCATGTTCAAGTAGAAATTTGGACAGTCGTTCATACCATGCTCTAGGAGCCTGCTTGAGTCCATAGAGAGCCTTGTCTAATTTGTACACATGCTCAGGATATTTCCTGCTCTCAAACCCTGGAGGTTGTTTCACAAACACTTTTTCTTTCGGGTAGCCATTTAGGAAGGCACTTTTGACATCCATCTGATGGAGAGTAAATTCCATGTGTGCTGCAAAAGCTATGAGGAGTCTTATTTCCTCTAGTCTTGCAACTGGAGCAAAAGTCTCATCATAATCTATACCCTCCTCTTAGCTGTAACCTTGTACCACAAGTCTTGCCTTATTTCTTGTAACAGTTCCATCTTCATCAAGTTTGTTTCTGAAGACCCATTTTGTGCCAATAACTGATCTGTCCTTGGGTCTTGGAACTAGATGCCAAACTTGACTTCTCTCAAACTGATTGAGTTCATCTTGCATTGCGTTTACCCGATTTGCATCCTGCAAAGCCTCAACAACATTTTTAGGTTCAATAAGAGATAGGAAAGCATCAAAAGCACACAAATTCTTTAATTGTGATCTAGTTTTGACTCCAGAGGTTGGATCAGTGATTATTTTCTCAATGGGATGTAGAACTTTGATACTANGGTTGCCCTGGATGGAAGAACCTGTTCCATCACCTGTTCCTTCTTTTGGTGCCACTTTAGCCTGGGACTTCATTCAAATCTCTTACCAGCCCAATAGCCTCATCTTCATGTTCCTGTCTCTCAGAAAGAATGTTAGTTTCATCAAATACTACATGCACACTTTCTTCTACACACAAAGTTCTTTTATTGAACACTTTATATGCTTTGCTATGTGAAGAATACCCCAGGAATACTCCCTCATCACTTCTGAGATCAAACTTGCCTAGGGAGTCTTTTCCATTATTGTGCACAACACACTTACATCCAAATGACCTAAGATGGGATATATTTGGCTTTGTCCCTTTAAGTAACTCATAGGGAGTCTTCTCTACAAGAGGTCTAGTCATGCACTTATTGATGATGTAACATGCAGTGTTTACAGCCTCTACCCAGAAGCTGTGAGGCAATTTACTAGAAAGAAGCATAGTCCTAGCCATATCTTCAAGAGTCCTGTTCTTTCTTTCAACTACTCCATTTTGTTGAGGAGTCCTAGGGGCAGAGAAGTTATGATCTATGCCATTCTCATCACAAAATTCAGTGAACTTAGCATTTTCAAATTCAGTTCCATGATCAGACCTAATGGATGCAAGTTGATTTCCTAATTGTTTCTGAGTCTTTCTAACAAAAGCAGTAAACAATTCAAATGCTTCATCTTTAGATGTTAAGAATAGTACCCAGGTAAACCTAGAATAATCATCAACAAGTACCATCACATATTTCTTACCACCTCTGCTCAATGTTCTCATTGGATCGCAGAGATCCATGTGAACCAGTTCCAACGTCCTGGTTGTGCTTACCATTTTCTTGTTTTTAAAGGACGATCTTACCTGCTTCCCCCTTGCACAGGCCTCACAAACTTTGTCTTTCTTGAACTTGACGTTAGGCAGCCCTATCACTAAGTCCTTGGAGGCTAATTTGTTGAGTTGATTCAGACTTGCATGATCATGTCTTTTATGCCACATGAGGGGATCATTATCCAACACACTTAAGCAAGTGAGTTCATTTTCTGAAAGAGTGGACAAATCTATAATACTCTTTCAACACTCTGCTTTGCTTGAAATCTTTGGGAACTACTTTGCTTGCAACTTGGCCTTTTCGAGATTACTGCTTTTACTTGTTTTCCCTGAGACTGGTATGTTCGAATTCAATTTTCTGCCTCACCCCCTTGTGTTTACTTTATAGTTTCAGCACTCTTGTTTACTTTGTTGTTCATGTTTAGTGATTAAACTATGTATGTTCTTTCCTTGCACCTATTTCCATTGTGAATCTCTACCCCTATTCCCTTTATGTGTTTGAGTTAAGGTTCTTGGCCTGGCAGTATCCAAATTACTGCCCAGGTCAGAACCTGGTCCTCAATAGATCCTAACTCCTCATATTTGGCTAACAGGCTGGTCAGGGGTGTGCCAGCACTCTTAATTGCTGGGCATGACCACCAGCCTTCCATGGCTTTCCCTAATTCCCCTCTATGCACTTACACTTACTCTTAGACTCTTAAGTTCTGCCCCCCTCCTATGAGCCCTGCTTTGGGACCTTGAGTTCCCTCTGAACTTGGACATTTGAGGGCTGGCCTTTTCACACTGCACCATGATCTAATCCTGCAATGCGTTTGGGGTGTAAGCATTGCCCGGAGCCCCTTTGAGACTCTTGGGAACTTTGATACATCCTAAACATGAGAAAGGCTTTTGGAAATATGATCCTGGAAGTTGGTCTATCTCATATTGTTGGACTTTGAGTCTGAATTAGGCTGTTTGGTTGTAGCTTGAGTTTTAAGATGTAATTTTTTTTACTTTTCTTGATTCCCCCGGGTCTGTAATAATTTGTAATAGCTATTGGGGATGGCTAGTGTAAAGGGATGGGAATGAATGCATGCAAAGGGTAGATAACTTGCCTATAGGATTTTCTGATTCCTGCATTCATATAGACAGCATACTTATAGGTTACTTATAAATTCCTGCATTCATGTAGATAACTTGTTCATAAGGTTACTTATAAATTTCTGCACTTCTGCATTCTCATCTTAGAAATTCTGCCTATAAGTTTTTTGCATTTCTGCATATAGAAATCCTGTCTCTAAGTTTCTGCATTTCCGCATATAGAAATCATGATCATAGGTTTTCTGCACTTCTGCATATACATGTCATTAGGCAAACCATCATAGGTCTAATAATAATCAACTTCATTCTAGATACCATGCCTATAGGACTCTTGCATTTATGTAATCGTTTAAAACCAATAACACTTAGAAATCATGTCTATAAGAGTAATCAACTGAATCATCTTCGTCTATTTCATCCATGAGTCTAAAATCAGTCACAAGGTCGTTTAAAATCTGCAGATCTTTTGTTTATAAAACCAGTAATCTTTTTTTTAAAATCAGTATGCTCTGTTAGATATCATGTCTATAGGTCTCACCTAGGTAAACCATTAGTTGATTAATTACCTGTGTTAGTTTTGATAAACTACAACCAGACAAAGCTAATTCGGATTCCTCATCTGAGAAATATGCGATAAATCAGCCTATCCTAACGCTTTAAATTTAATTCAGACCTAATCAGTACCTGTAAGTCATGCTAAATAATTTGTTGCTTTGAATGAGGAGGCCTATTTGAGCCTTTAACTGCTATGTGCTTCCCCTTTTACTGCTTTTTGTTGTTTTGTTTGTCGCACTAGGTTTTTTGTCCTTTTAAAACTCTGAAAAGCCAATATCCCTTCCCTTTAGGATTA